GGGGAGGAGGGAAAGAGAAAGAAAAAATAAGCCAGAACAAACGAGAAGATGACAGAGCTTTTCTGAAACCTGACCACGTACCGGTGTATGGCTTCAGTTGCAGGAAGGCACACACACAGGAATGTCCTGATGCCAGGGGAAGGGCAATTAGGCCGCACTGCCCTGCCTGAGCAAGAGCTCAGAAGGGACACTGGATTAAAAACAGCTTCTGGCAATCTTCAAAAAGACAGCATTTGTTCCAAAAAGAGGGACCCCTCCCTTAGGCACCTCCCCGCCAAGACTATGAAGTCAGGGACCAGCCTCCTCTAGCTGGTCTAGAGTAGCTAGCCCCATGGTTCACTTGGCCACTACAGAGGTTGCTGTGTCCCTGGCAGCCGTGGAAAGCAGCAAAGCAGGTCCTGACATCAGCAGCCTCTGCACCTTTATCACTGGAAATGCTTGCATGCAGCCCAGACAGATTGGTAGAGATCAAAAAGGAAGGCCCCTTTGTGGAGGGAATACATGTAATCCTGCAGGAGCTCACCAGGAACAGGGAGGCCCGACTCTCCCATCAGGCTTTGCTCTCCTCCTGCCACCTCAGCAGAGGCCCTAGACTCCACCTGCCCAACAGGATCCTGTGGTGCCAAGGCTGGGCACCATGCCACTCCTCTCTCCAAGAACACCTCAGCCTGGCAGGGTGCCAGGCACAGTCAAGCTTGTGGCCATCAGGGATTTCCTGAAAACTGGCATGCCCAGAAACCTAAATGCAAATGCACGGGGATCTCACAGCCATGCCGGCAGCCCGATAAATCAGACGCATGCTTCCCGAGGGCACACCATGCTAACGGCCTATACACATACCTCTATAGCAAAAAGACTTACGAAGGACTATCAAGAACCTGCAGAACCTGCAGCTTTTCAATACTGTACCACGGATACGGGAGATGCTGGGTCTCTACTCTCAGGAAACACATGACCTTGACTGACAAAAGGTCAAGGAGCAGGGGGGAACTATGAGTGCTCAAATACCTTGCACTCTGGTGGGTCTGACTTGCTAACTAGATACCAGAGTGTGGGCTGGTGTGCTCAGGAAGTTAGCCAGCTAAAGGTAAAGAGCACGTATGGAAACGAGATGCATTCTAGGTGGAGGAAGATAAGAGGTGACAGTGGGGGCCTCCCTGCTCTGCTCACCTGTAGTCTCTTAGGAGGGAAAAGGTGGCCTCCAAAGTTCACTGTGCTTGTCCTTCTGTCTTTGGGCAGGAGACCGGCCAGTCAGCAGGGGGTCTCCAGGTGCTCAGACATTACCCAGCTCCTCCTGAGTCAGTGATATGTGTATAGAGTCCACGTGTCTGGTTCTTGTTTGTGTCTGTGGTTTCAGGAGGACAACCCTGCCGTTCTGGACAGTATGCAGAGCCACGAACCCGAGCCACGCTGAGGTGAGGCCAGTCAGGCAAACAGAACAGCTCTGCCTCTTAGGGGCACGCCGTACCAGTCGTAAACCAGCCCAACTGGACTCTCTCCAGGGAAGTAGATGTTAGGGTTTGGATGAGTGTCCTTCAAAGACCACGAGTTTCTAACATGTGGTACTCTTGAGAGGGGGGACCTCGTGGGAGGTCTTGGGACCCCGGCTCCTTCCTATCTCTGCTTCCGAGCCACTATGAGGTAAGCAGCCTCCTCAGTCACACACTCCCCGCCTTGATGCACTGCCCTCCCACAGGCCCAAACGACCACTACCTGAAACCTTTGAAGCTGTGAGCCCAAACAGAGCCTTGCTCATACATTGACTACCTCAGGTATTTTGTCATAGTAACAGCCGACTAACACAGGAGGAATGGTGGTGAACTCAGAGGTGGGTTGCCGGAGCACATGCTCGATTCCTCACATTCCGCTATTCTGTGAAGCAGGACAAGAGCACAGTCTGGAATTCCGGGGACAGAAGAGAAACTGCTGGGCTGAGGCAGCGGAGACACATCTTCCATGTGGTCTTACTCTCTGCCAGGCCATTCCTTCCCCAGGACTCTTTAAAGATGGCGAGTCTGAGCCCCCAACCCCAAGATGTACGAGGAAGCAGAAGGCCTAGGTGAGGGGTGTGATGGGGTAAGAGGGGGGAATGGCTTCCTTTGTTGTCATGAGCATCTGTTCCAGACTGCTTCTGAACCAGGAACTCCTTGGTTTAGGCCTGAAGAGAAAAGCCACATGATCTTGCCCCCAGCCCAGCTATACCCAAAGTAGGCCAGATGCTCCTGCTTGCCATGAGAACACATCTTGATTGGCAGTGCCAACAAAATTTCACACACTTGATAGCATTTGCTCCGCTCAGTACCCAGGATCCTTCTTTGGGAAACAAGGACATACAACTCAGAGAGGGCCCAAGGTCACAGCTGACTGAGGACCAAAGGCAAGCCCCCCCAGGCTTGGCTCCAGGCCCCTCTCAGGTCACACTGTTCCTAAAGGGAAGAGGATGGCTCTGTGAGCCTTCAAGGCATCCTGCCTGTACCTTTGAACTGTGTGTGAGGCCTTTCCACAAGGGATAAGCTGGGGATTCTCCAAGCAAAAAAACACTCCCCAAATCTCACAAGTGGCACCAGCAGCCGTCTGCATCAGCTTACCATGAACTGCCACATGAGGTTCTGAACTGTCTATATGCAAACCACAAAGCAGGGGAAACAGAGGTATGCTCTGTGTACTTCTTGAAATTCTTTGCAAGGTCAGGTGCATTTGTCTGAAGAGAGGGTTCGAGGCTCTGAAACAGCCTCAGGAAGAACAAGGACTCAATTCCTTGAGGATCACAGGAGTTACGGGTCAATGCTTCCTCTAACCCTGTATATGCTCTGAACACACAAAAATCCAGTGTCAACAACTGGGGTGTAGCTCTGTTGGAACAATGTTCGCCTGGCATGAACAAGGCCCACAGCTTGACCTCCAGTAAGAAGTAAACTGGGTGTGATGGCCCATGCTTGTAATCCCAGCTCCTTCGGGTAGAGGCTAGAGGATCAAAAGTTCAAGGTCAGCATTGACTATGCAGTGAGTTAGAGGTTAAGGACACAAGACCTTGCTTCAAAACATTTATTGCCACACATGTTATCACATACAGGAGAAAGCACTATGTGACTGGGGGTGGTCAAACTGCCCTGGCTCCTGCCAGGAGGAAACTAAGATGGAAACAGTATGTGAGAGGAGAGCGACTTAGGCTGCAGCCCAAAGCTGGCCAGACCTTTGGCTGGCTGCTTTCAGGGTCCTAGAACACGCCCTTCTCATTGGTCACAGACACTTGGACATCCCTGAGCTCCACTCCCACATGCCTAAGGCCAACGACCATTTCCTGGAAGGGCTCTGATCCCCATATTACAGGCAGCAAGGGCAGCTCTCCAGGTCCACAGCCCTCATCATGAGCCACAGGGCCAGGGCGCCCCAGAAAAGGGGGAAGTCTGATTAACCCTGCCTCTTCCCTTTAGCCCTTCCAGGCCAGTGGTTGGAGAGGTGCCAAAGCACCAAAGACATACAAGCGAAGACCCTAAAGGACAGGCCCAGGTTCCACATACCAAACATCGGCCTCCTCCCTGAAACCAGTCTCAGCCTCCATTGGTGGGCTTCTAACTGGCGCTTGCCAATGCTGCCTTTTCTCCCCACCCCTCAACAAGGGCTTGTCAGTTTCTTCCACACGTTGGCATTCTTGAGAGCAGCGCTCCCAGGACTGGGGAAACAGCATGTGATCAGTACAACCCTCTTACTGTCTATTGCGCAAATAGCTTATGATGGTCTGGAAAATCCATTTTCTGTGTGAGAGAGACAGAGTTACCGCGGAGGCCATACAAAGTTGGCTTCTGATTTTCAAAAGACAGAGACATACACATCGCTAAAGTTATGCGGTGTAAAATGTCGTCTTTCTTTGATGATTCAGCCCAGGGAAGGTACCTGAGGATCCAGCAGCCCCTGGGGCATCACTGTGGATGTCATTAGAAGCAAAGGTGGAAGCTTTACATCGTACCTGTCTGTGGTATACACACCTTAGGAACAAACTCCAGAGAAACATGGAAGGGTGTGAGGGAAGCCACGGTACAGAATCCAGGGAGATGTGGATCCAATTAGATTCTGGAAGCTCCTCCCAGGAAGTAGTCCCTACAGCCTCTTTTATCGGCCATGGGAAAACCTCACAAAGGTCAGCTGAGGTTCTCCCTCCCCCATCTGCAGCAACTGCTTACCTACCGGGGTCCTTCAAGAATATAGGGTCTGTGTGTGTCTATGCAACAAAACTAGACCAAAGCAATCACTGTTCTGCAGAGCACCCACGGCCCTCCTGTCTCTGCTGCCCCACAAGACCCTGTGGGACAGGCAGGCTACCACTTTCCCTAAAGGAATCTGAGAAAGGAAAACAAAAACTGAGAGGTGGGTGACGCATGAGCCTTCGAACGGAGGGAACAGACCAGATCTGTAGTTTGCCCCTAACCAGTAGAGGTTAGAGCACTGGCAGCCTAGAAACCAAGCCTAGCTTCATTCTGGCTAAGACTTCGGGCAGGGGCTCCTGGCCAGGACCAGTCAAAGTTAGGGGAGGCTAAACCACAATACACAATATCTCCAGGTGGCAAACGACCTAGGGACTGAAATCTTACCAGTGCTAGGGACATGCCTCAGAAGCTGATTTTTGCAGGCAACTGAGCATTCCCTAGGGACCCTTGGAAGAGGGTGATAGGTAGTGGGCAGAGAGCAAGAGAACCCTGGGCCAAGTCAGGCATGCATCTCTGTCCCCTCTCTCACCAACTATCCCCGGGGACCTGTGGAGGAGAGGAGCGGGGACAATGGTCCAACAGGTCCCCTTCATCAGCCTCGCTGGTCACCCTACTCGCCCTAGTCTTGAGGGCCCCAAATTCAGAGGGAACGCAGAGGCACCTGCCGCCACACCGCTCCACGCCCGCGGAAGAGGGACCCTTGGGCGGTGCCTCCGACGTTCTCTTGTCCCCCCCCTCGTAGGGCGGGGCGCTCCGGGATCCGCCGCGCCCCCCATGCCCCCTCCCAGAGCTCACCTGGCGCAGGTGCTGCAGCAGCGTCCCCGCCTCCTCCCGCCGGCCCTGGCGCACCATCCGCAGCAGCTCCTGGACCATGCCGACCCGCCGATGGTAGGGGGGTAGCCCGGCGGCCGCGCGCCCCGCCTTGTCCCCGGCGCGCAGCAGCAGCGACGCCCAGAAGTCGGGTCTCTCGCGGCGGGGGGCGGGCGCCGCGCCCGGGCTGGCTCTCTCCGTCAGGCTGCCCTTAGTCTGCCGAGTGCCCATGCCGCCGCCCGCCCGGGGCCGCGCGCGCCGGACCAAGGCCGCGTCCCCCGCCGGCTGCGCGCCTCCCCGGCGGCAACTTTGGGGGAACTGTTGCGCGCGGGAGGCGCGGGCGCGGGGCGGGGGCGGCTGCGGCCCGCGCTCCCCTCGCTCCTCCCTCCTCGCTGCCCCGGCGCGCTCTCCCGGCGCTCGCCGCCCGCCCGCCCGCCGGCCCCGCCCCGCC